GCAGGCAGTTTGAAAAGGCATCAATATTGCAATGGTCAAAGAATCAGGCAGGCAGTTTGAAAATGCTGAAAACTCCAAATAATTTTAAAAGCCTAATATTTTAAGGTGTGCAACTTTACAGGGGCAGGAGAATCTGCCTTTAACATTTATTCTAAAATAGACCACATTGTTTTAGAGATTGAGAAATGCTTATATATTTCACCAATAAGTGATAGGATAAGAAAAGTAACTTAAGAAAATTATTTCCCTACACAAGCAGACTTGAGCTTCAAAAGGCTCTTGTAGATAGACACACATTTTTCAGGGAAAAGGATAGACAGATAATTAGACTTGACAGAATTAGAATAGAAACACCAAAAGTTACACAACAATAGAATAATTTTACACTGGATTCCCCCTGGAACAAAAATTAACACCTTTTAGACAGAATTGAGAAGGAGATTAACCCAACAACAGACACTGACGAAAAAAATCAGAAATGACAATTTTGAACTCACCAATCAGGAATGACAATTTTGGAAACCATGAAATGGTATTCCAATGAAACAATGTACAAAAGAAATGGTTTGCAATTGTTTAAAAGAAACAGACCAAATGAAAGGAGGCAGAGTTTCTCTATATATAAGAAATAACTACATATCTACAGAAATGGGACACAACAATGATGAAAACTGTCTTGAATGCATTTGGATCAATATGAAAGGGGAAATAGATGAACTTTTTGCTAGTCAGCTAACTAAGGTGCATAGGAAGCACACGACAATAGAACACAGTCAAACTAGAGTCCTGGACTTTAAGAGAGCTAATTTCAATAAACTTGAGAAGGCTTGGGAGGGATTCCATGGATGAGAATCTTCAAGGGGAAACAACTCAAGAAGCTTGGGAATTTAAAAAATAACCCAGTCTAGCACAATACCAACAAAGAAGAAAAATAATAGCTCTCACAAGAAACCAGATACTGCATAAAGAACTCTCTGATAAATTGACATATAAGAGGGACCAGTATAAAAAGGTGGAAAAAGGGGCACATACCTAAAGCAGAATATTAGCAAATAGTCTGAGCCTGCAAAGATGAGGTGAAGAAAGCTAAGGCTCAAAATGAACTAAGGCTTGTGACCACAGTCAAAAATAACAAAAAAACAAACAGTCCAACTTATCAAAAACAGTACCATAAAAAAGATTAGAAACACAAGTTAAGATAGGCAAGAAAATGGTAAGTGAGCACTTATCCAGCCTAGAAGAGTCCAAATCACCAGGACCAGATGGATTACAACCCAAGGTTCTCAAGGAACTGGCAGATGTGATCTCAGAACCACTGAACTATATTTTTCAAAGATCCTGGAGCACCAGGGAACTACCAGAGGACTGGAAAAGAGCTGATATAGTTCCCCTCTTCAAAAAAAGAAAAAAAGAATAGATCCAGAAAACTACTAACCCATTATCCTGACCTCAATACCTGGGAAGATTCTGGAAAAGATAATCAAACAAGAATCAGCGAACACCTAGAGGCAAACAAAGTCATTACCAAAAGCCAACATGGGTTTGTTAAAAACAGATCA